CGAGTTTCAAATTATCGAGAGTCGACTGTTTATATATATATATAATGTGTATGTAATATATATGTGTAATATATGTATAATATGATAGTTATATATGATAATAAACAGGGGAGATATGTCCAAAGAATAATTGAAAAGTCTGGATGTGAGCTTACACACCAGTACGTGATCCCAGAAAAACAAACTGCGATAATATCTGTTTAGAAGATAAGCTTGTAGACAGATTCTTGGAACTAGTTTCTTTTTACCTTGACAAAAATTACCAAATTCTTTTAAGATTTTATTCACTTCGATATGAATAAGAATTACCAAGAAATTATCATTAGGCTTAGTTCAAAATTGTTTATAAATAGATTGTCTGATAACTTGAGAAATATCTTTTTTCCTATTAGTCCGAGAATATATCTTTAATTTCTCAACTGGGAAAATTGAAATGTTCTATTTAATACATGTGTATTAATATACAAACGAATAACAACCAAACGTATAAAGAATCGTTCATCGTATTTTAAATAACATCAGTCATCTTCTTCTTTTTTATCTCCACTCAATCATATTAGGGTATCAAGCTTTAGAGCTTGTTGATGGTGTCTGTTTGACAACCATCATGACTGGGTGAAGTAGAATGCGTCTGCCTTTGTCATTAAGACTGGGAGCACTACTCAGTGGCAGATCGACTTAGCTCCAAAAGAAATGGCCGCCTCTGACATGAGGAACAGACACCATGTGCAGCTGCTCCTAACATGGAGTACAAACGCTACTCATCCTGTATCCCTGGATTAGGAGCCCTTACAGGGTACTATCAGTCGGGCCAGCTGAGCCCAGGTTTTTTCAGCAAGCTTGTTACTGCTCCTTCTCCTCCTTATTCATCTGGGAGTGGGAGCGGCAAAGGCGGAGTTCAATAACATCAGTGATTTAATTTTATTGATTTTTGACCAATTATGTTTCTTTTCTGGCTTTTTTACTTTGTGATGTAGTAAATATGTTAATTTGGCGTGTATAGTTCGCATAAAGCAAATAGTGCATGCTGGAGAAATGAATTTTAATATATATATGTTATTAAAACTATGAATACTTCAAAAAAAAAAGATAAGTTATTTAGAAAAAATAGTTAATAAAGAATTAAAAATCTAAAGTGAAAAAATTATTAATAAATAAAATTAATTAAATATTTCAAAACCCTTAGTTTTTAATCATAACATCTTTTTAAAGTAAATATTTTAACTATTAAATATTTCACTCAAATTCCTTTTTTATGAATATACTAGACGAATGACCCGGGCAACGCCCGTGTTTTACCCGATTGAATGTTTTATTCCAATACTATTTGTTACAATTATAAATTGGAGCCGTGGATGTCACTCTTGTGAAACGTCCCGCTCCAAACTTTACATGTACATTAGGTCAGCTGGTATTACCCCTCATTTTCACCGCTAGAGGCGCGAGCGAATTGACTTTTTGTAAATATACATAATTATAAAGATAGAAGCTTCTATAGAAGATAAGGATCATAATGATGATGCGCGCGCATCCGTGACATGAGGAATTGAGGAAAGACGGTCGTGACTATATATATTAATAATAAATAATAATAATAATATAATAATTATTATTATTATCATTAGATAATGATAATGATCATAATGATGATGCGCGCGCATCCGTGACATGAGGAATTGAGGAAAGACGGTCGTGACTATATATGTTGATATTGTTTCATAATGCATAAAAACATTTATAAAATATATATTTTTTATTAGTAAATTAAATTTAATTGCCATCTATAGTTAAAATATTTTTACACAAATAAATTTACTGGCAATGCGTTTCTTTTGAATATCATAAAATATTATCTCTACAGACCTTACTACAATGATATAAGTTATTGAATGAGAGGGCTTGGTTCATCAGTAGTGAAACCTCTCAGCGGTTTCGCCAAATTAATCTCTAGACCGCTCTACTATTGTTTTGGATTGGTTTGGAGTATACCCTGTATTTTCTATGGAAGGCAGCTTAGGGGTGTTTAGTGAACTATGGACATAAGCCTATAGGTCTGTAGAGGTCTGCCTTCCATAGAAAATACAGGGTATACTCCAAACCAATCCAATACAATAGTAGAGCGGTCTAGAGATTAATTTGGCGAAACCGCTGAGAGGGTTCACTACTGATGAGCCAAGCCCTCTCATTCAATAACTCATATCATTGCTGTAAGGTCTGTAGAGATAATATTTGATGATATTTAAAAGAAACGCATTGCCAATATATTTTTATATAAGATAATGAATATATATAGATATATATGCATATAATCTACACAATTATTTTAACTATTAATTATTCTACCTAAATTATTTTGTTAAGAATATATAAATATATTTTTTTCATAATTCATAAAAACATTTATATTTTGTTTGTTCAATTTTAGCTTAATAAACTAGCATGATATTCGCACAAGTCAAGTTAAATTTATTTTAAAAGTTAAGCTTTTATAGTTTTAACATGATATTTATAAAAGTAGTCCCTTAAAAAATATATATATATTTTTAAGTTTAAGATGGAAGATCATATATATTTATTCATCAAATCAGACGCGATATCCCCACAAGGGATGCTTGCGTCAATAACAACACTAAATTCAGATACTATATTACATTTAAAAAAATAATAAATAATTACAAGATTTGAAAAGATAAGAAAGAGGACATTAAAATCATTCTTGATTTTACATCACAACCAACAAAATAAACAAACCAAAAAATACATATATACAAATAGCTAATAATTAAGGTTTTTTTTAACCAAGAAAGAAAATCATAGATATATTTACAGACTTTTCTAAATTTAAAATACGAGTCCCTACTATTTACAAACATAAAAAGATCCTTGTATTCGATGTTTTCCCGGTTTCTGTAGTTCTGGAAGATTGGGCACTCAAGAAGCAGATGACTGGAATCCTGATTTCTCTTTCCACATAAACATCCCGGATCGTCTATAGCTCCTATTCGAAACAGATAATCTCCGAAATTTCCATGACCAGTAACGAATTGCACATTGTAAAAGTCAGGGCGGAAATATTTTGGAATGCCCAAAGGGAAAAAGAGACGAAAGTGATCACTTGTATTAGAAAACATATCTTCCATTCTTGTTCTCAAAAATCCTTTTATAATTGAAGGAGAATGTGGACTGAACGTTCGTTTGTCTTCCTCGCTTAGTTGGTCCAATTCATATTTTATCAATCTTGATTCGATAAAATCAGTCAGGAATATGAAACTATGAATTAAAGCGAAATTATATTTCAAAATACAATAGAGATTTTATCCAACAGCAACATATATTAAAACCCTTATTACATAAAACAATACAAAATTTGAACTACTTTTGATGCGTTTGAATTTTTTCTTTTTAAAAAATAAATCAATTTATACTGCCCTTACTTCAATGATAAAATAATGGGAGGGCCTGGCAAATGAGTATTTTATCATTGCATTAAGCGCAGTAGAAAATTGAATTATTCTTTTAAAAGAGAAAAAAAATCAAACGCGTTAAAAATAGTTCAATTTTTTTATAACAGATTGCGTACTAATGTATCGTATATTTAAAACAATACATCTGCTGTAATAAAGTAAGAAATATAGATAACTTACAGTACTGGAAAAATCCTCCACAGAGAAGCAAAAGGCAGAACACAACTCCTCTAGTGTCGGCTGCCATAGTTACTGGAAGTTCGCAGACTGTTTTGTTTATCAGACGATTGGCAGTGATATCTAAGAGAGCGTGTGCTTGGAGACCTTGACTCTTCTTCAGACTTATAAACAAAATAAAACGAAATAAAAAAATCACAGATAAATTTCGCTTCAGAAATGTAATCAACAAGAATTCCTATTTAATTTTATTCCAACACAAAACGCGATATCCCGGCTAAGGATAATTGCGTCGATTTACATTTTTTTAAAACAGAAACAGTTATAAACATATATTATACAAGAAAAATTAATCAAAAATAAAAGAGAAACAATAATATATATTAGGAACCTGAACCTCTCAGTTTAGAAAGATAATCATAAATATATCTACAAAAATAGTTAAATCTTTGATAATTCTCTCTGCTATTTACAAATTGATATAGATCTACAACATTATTTATTGTCTGTTGTCTAACGGTGAAGAAGAGTGGGCATTCCAGCAGGAGAATTCCTATTGAATATAATTCTACTGTCCTATAAGCTTATGTCCATAGTTTTCTTTAAACCATTTCTGAGATTCCATCCTTCAGTGCTGCGTATATAAGCAGAATCGTCCAATACAGTAAATAGAGCTCTTAGAAGCGGTCTGGTGGATTAAATTGGCGAAACCGCTGGGAGGGTTCACCACTGATCAGCAAAGCCCTCCCAATATATTTTTTCATCGCTGTAAGGACAGTAGAAGTTTATATTATGTATAAAAGAAACATTCGTGCTTTTAAATCCTTTCTTTTTATAGAAATAATTCATAGTTCTTAAAATTAAAGATACTTCGGCTCAGTAAATCTTTGTTGAAACGTTGAGATAATAAAAAGATTTACTGGCTGAAGTATCTTTAATTTTAAAATCTAATAAACGATATAAACAAGTCAATTTTAGATAGCCAAGTCCCGAGATCGAAACCCGTATTAGACACTTTTTTTTCTCTTATATAAAAATTATTTATAATATCACTTTATCCTTTTAAAATCCAAAGTTATTAATGAATACAATTAACTAAATTTAACACTTTTTTTTTCTTAAAAAGAAGGGCTCAAATGGTACTTTTTTCAAGTCCAACATCACATCAGTGAGTGTAAATTGCCAAACGGGTTATCGTTTTTTTTTTTGCTTATTCCTAGTACACGTGGTACAGACCTTGATAATCATGGTGGGTAGAAGAAGGCGAATGCTTTTATTGTAAGTGCATCACATATTTACACATATAAAAAGAAGTTCGACTTTACACTTATAAATGGGCCAGAGCCCCTTAAAAAAAGAAGGTACCGGCGATATTCGAACTCACAATCTCCTGTTTACTAGACGGGCGCTTTAACCAAAAAAGCCACGGTGCCACTACGGGTTCTCATACCTTTCAAGAGCAAAGGTCGAACTGATTTCTACATGATTAAACATGTGATGTACTTACAGTAAAATCAGTCTCTCTAATTTCCCAAGATAATTATAATGGTCTGTATCATGTATAATCAACCTAATTTCATTAACATCCTATAACGCAATATCCCAAACTCAGGGATATTTGAGTCAATACGTTACATCATAACAAATTGGTTATATACAAACTTATATATATACAATACAATTATTTTACATAATTATTCAAAGAAATCTGATAAAAGAGAAAAAAGACAAACATACAACATACGCATACTTAAAATAAATAATTAAATATAATTAAATTGGATATTCTTTATTTCAACCTAGAGCGCTTTGTCCCCCGAGGGACACTTGCACTTTAAACATAAACAAAAATTTGAAAGAAAAGAAAGAAAGATATTTTAAATATGTACACAGAATTAGTATGCAAGTTAGTTAGATGAAAAGATAAAAAAATCAACAGAATTGGATATTAAAATAAACTCTGAAAATTGAATTTTAAAGTATCTTCTTTAGCAGAAAATATTTTATATTTTTTAGAGACTTATGTTTCTTTTCGTCTATCATCATTATTGTTCTATAATAGATATATGATAAATGTCTAATATGCGATAAATCACACCATATTCGCTTATTATGATTCTTCTGTTTTACAAATAGGACCATTTCTATTATCCTTACTACAATGAACATTGTGAGAGGGTTCATCTATAGTTTTTATTATTATTATTCTTAGTACCTATGGTACAAGTGGTAACCAGCGCGCATAGAAATTATATTAATTTTCATCGAAAGATGTTCTATTTGTGTGATTTTTATTGATTTATATGTAAATAACAAACAAATATTATGATATAGATCAAACAAGCCCTTCATCAACTAAGCTATGACTGTTCTCCCAATCAAATTTTACATTCAATCTCAAAGAAACATTACATTCTTTTACTGAATCGAATTTTATAACCTTACTCATTTATACATCTCAGCTAACCCTAAATTCACATCTTAACTAATCCTCACATACCATCTAAACCAAACCTTCACTATATATCAACCAAACCCTACTGTTTCAAACACATACACAAGTAAATATATTTAAAATGAAGAAGGCATATCCTGACCAGAAGCACATGTGCTTTTTAGAAGGCAGAGCGCCATCTAGTGGAACAGAAATCAACTAAACATTGATTTAGCCTGTTGTTAAAAAGCACATGTGCTTTATTTTTCTTTATTTTAATATCAACACCTGGCCTTTTTTATATTATTTTTTCACACACATATAAATATATGTTAAATATAGAGCAATCCATTTATGATAATTAAATAAAGGGATATTTTGGATCAAAATATTCATTAAATTTCAATATTTCGACGAGGCTTTTCGCCCATCATCTTCTAGAAAAAATTCAAACTCCTTGTAAGCATATTATTCGCACAATGCTTGTAATAAGCTTACAAGGAGTTTGATTTTTTTCCAGAAGAAGATAGGGCAACAGCCTCGTCGAAATATTGAAATTTAATAAATATTTTGATCCAAAATATGCCCTTATTTAATATATATAAACACTACTTCCAAGAGTCTAGCATCAGTATCACTATAAAAGGAAGATCAATAAATGCAATATAACAGCGGTTTGGTAGATTAAACTGGCGAAACCGCTGGGAGGGTTCATCACTGATGAGCCAGGCCTTCCCATTATTTTTCTCATTGCAGTAAGGGGCAGTAGAAATTGTTTAACTTCAAAAAGAATATTGCGCGTCTAAAATAGTTTCTAATTTTCATAACAGATGACGCGCTAGTGCATCATAATACATATATACCCTATTTTACTCTAACTATTAAACCCATTTCTCCAAATCCTATCGTCCTATCTTCAAGCAGACCTCACATATAATCTCAACCAAGTTTTACAATTGAAAAACCAAACCTTATTATACAACTTAAGCATAACAATCTATATCAGCTAAAAAACTTACATCCATATTTCAACCGATACTCATCCCCGTTTCTCAAAGAAACCCTATCCTCATATCTCAATCAAACATGCAATCCTATCTTAGCCAAACACACACACTTACGATTCTATTTTAACCATATTTTAATGACTTATAAATAAACATGCAAATACTACTTCATGACACCTAAGATAGGTCAACATTTCCTATTCATTTATGAAATCAATTGCCATCTAGTCATAAAATTTGTAACAAATAAATTTACTGGCAATGTGTTTCTTTTCTATATCATTTGTTGTTGTTGTCATGTCCAATGAAGAGCCTCAGATGTCTCCATACATCTCTATCACAGCAGCAGCAATGTCCACTATCTTGGGTGTGTAAAGATAGTGGACATTGCTGCTGCTGTGATTGAGATGCATGGAGACATCTGAGGCTCTTCATTGGACACGACAACAACAACATAATCTGTGGAGATAATATTTGATGAAATTATTGAGAAGAAACACTTTGACAGTAAATTTATTTGTTACAAATTTTATTTCATGTTCAATTGCAACTAAGTCGAGAAACCATCTCAAAGGTATTTTAATATTACTTTAGGAACTCATCAATATTTCCTAACTATCTTCAAATCCTATGCGGTTCCAGGAAAAATTTCTATAGCCGTTTAGTTTGCTAGAATTGGAACAGCCTTTGCCCAGAAAACATGTACTCTTGCAATTTCAAATTCTTCTCGTTTGCACACCTGTTAAATTTTGGTTGAAATCTTTATATTCTCTCTCTCTCTCTCTCTCTTTGAATATGTTAATTATTTTATATTCATTCAGTTATTTATTATTTCTCAAACAATACGATTTTATTTTTAACCTCATCATATTTTTGAAACTACTATATAAAGAGTTTAAAAGTAATGAGCATTGCTTGCTTTTATGAAAGCAGTTTCAAATATATATACTGTATATATTAATCTGAAGAAGACAAAGGTCGCCTCTCTCATCAAAATAGACTTCAAACCGTCGCCGTAAACTAGCGGCCTAGGGTCGGTAACAAAGCCACAACACCAGCTTTGGCAAACTGAGAAGCGTCCACCTAGAGACCATGGTTTCGGGCTAATGACCCTCGTCAGTCTAGGGCGGACTTTATTCTATGAGATCCAAACGGGATTTAATGGAATCCTCACAATCTGCCAAAGAGGTGTTTAGCTGGAAAGTGGCTGGGCCAAATCTATGGCTAAAATATAGATGGAAATTTTGCTGGGAGGATATTGATCTAAAGAGACAAAGGTCGCCTCTCCCGTCAAAATAGACGTCAAAGCTAGACGCCATTCATATATTAATGGATGGTCAGTCTAGTGTTTATACATTGGTTTATCATTGGTGATGCAAATGACTTCTACTGAATGTTCAGTCTAGTGTTGTTACATTGGTACTGAAATTGTTTGGATTGTGATGGAAAGTGTTTTTAGAAAAGTTAAGATTTCGCGAAAAGGAGATACCAAATATGGATATTACAAATAATCCAAAAGTTGCACACCTCCTGTTTGAAAATCCATTAAAACAATTCATTTTGTTCATCACCTTTACGTGTAAAGCGCGCCAATCCATATTAAAGAATATGTTACAGCACTTATTAACTGCTTTGGTCAATTCAGACAAAAAACTAGGAAATTGGCCCTCATCAGAGAATAGAGGCAGCTTTAATTTCATAACATTCTAAGGGAGAAGCTATGAAATCGGTCGAATCAGTCAAAGAGGTGTTTCATTTAAGGAGAAATAGTAGGTTAAATATTATAAATAGGATACAATATATGTATTTTTAATTAAATATCTATTTGTTGATTGCTCTATTTTCAATATAAATATATAGATAGAAATTTTGAAGGGAGGAAATTGATATATAAAAATATAGGTGCTTTTCCCAGCAAAATATTTTAATTTTTATAGATCAATTTTTCCTTCCGAACAAAATTTGCAACTACATTTCAGTCATTCTGATCTAGCCACTCTACCAGCTAAACACCTCTTTAGCAGATTTTGAAGATTTCATTTGGTGACTTGTAGATTTCATGAAATAAGGTAAATCCTAGGGTATATTTTCAAATTTTGGATATCCCTTCGGAAAACTTGTGTAATATAAGAAAGAAGGAAATTAAGTTTGTTGAACTCGCCAAACATGAACCTTTCATTATAAAATAAATAAAGCTTCTAGGGTTAAGTTTCTTGTTCAAATTTTTATTTTCAAGCTTTCGGACTTGTCAGTCCTTCAACAGGATTATCACGATAACAAATTGATGATAAATACTATTTTTATATACAAATTATTTTTTAAATATTTAAATATTAATGATATTGAAAGGAGGAGAAAATATATATTACATTCTTTATGTGTTATATATGTCATGGTTATCTCTACGGGACGTCATCCTTTCTTTAACTTTATTTTTTCTCAAGAAAGTTACAATATTATGGAATATATTTCGATATATATATTTAATTAAAAATGCATATATTGGATCAAAATATAATTTATTTAACCAATATTTCAAGGTATTGTGTGTTAACCTTTCATAACAATATGCAAAATTTTAAATTGAATATTAGACTGACGAAGACCTATATCCCGAAACCATGGTCTCTAGGTGGACACTTCTCAATTTTCCAAAGATAATCTCGTAGATTTGTCACTGATTTGTCTGCTATTTTGCGGACACGGTCAATTAGAAGTACTCCAAAATTCAATTATTGGAGGGATGACAAACCAATTATCGGTAAGATATATTTATGAGAAGATTAAAAAAAGGATCACAACCTACGATGAAGCCTGCAAAAATAATCTAAACAGCTTCTAAAAGTAGTTTTTCATTATTCACTTTCAAATTACAGTTATACCTATAGCGCCCCCTCTTGGGACTCACCAAAATAGGGTGCTATAGAGAGGTCACTTTTAATGTAAATCGCATCGTACTACGTATTTAAAATCGGGCGCTATAGAGAGGAAG